CCCCAAAACCCCAAAACCCCATGCAATATAATATCTATTATAATTAGAGATATATGAATCCAAATTAAAACAAATAAATATTTACTTTCTATAAATTTCTCTTCATATCATATCTATCAATGATATACCTTACCATTTATTTTATTATGCTTTCATCTGTCAAAACTTACTAAGTTTTTCTCCTTCAGCTTACTTAAGTCCATTTTAGCATTGACTCCTCCACTGCCCTCTTCATTTTAATGTAATCTAATTTTCAAGCCCTCTTGATCCTTCATTATTAGCTTGTCTACATCGAGACTATGCGGTGTTCTTACATTCTATGTTAAATGATCAAAGGTGTTGTCATCAAAGGACATTCCATCTAAATCTTTTTGACCTTTGCCTCCTCGTTGCTTTAATCTAGAATTATTTTAGCTTCTATTTCTCTCTGGAGATCCAAGGATGCTTTTGAGAGGAGATGATAAGTTGGAATTAATATCAACAACTGAATGGTTGAAAACATGGAACTTAGATTGATTTATTCTCACATGCTTCTCTAGATCGTTCAGGTTATAGGACTCCGAAATGAAATACATCTTGTGATCCCTAGGCTTAACTCTTTGGAAATCAACCAAGTTTGATCTACATTTGAAATTAAGAAGTGAATGCTTACTGTTGGATGTGCCCTAGTTTATTAAAGTTTTTAAGAGTATCTGTCATATATGAAGGCAATTGTGATTTATTGGCATGTCTTTTCCTGTAGTGGTAGATCTCATCTCTACCCATTTAATTATGGAATGAAACATCTATAATTATAGAAAAATGAATAAACTTACGACCGACATCAAGCTTTGATTCCACTCTATTGAAGTTAGGTGTGTAATCGCCACAATTGTAAAATTGATTTTTAAGCTGATTTAGCAAAGTTTTCTTTGGTGATTCCCTTCTCCAATCAGTGGAAACTACTTTCTTAGTGCTAGATATCACAGTTGAGGCATCATTCACACTTTCAAATCTCTTGAAATGAGGACTTTCCTTAGAGGGGCAACGTCTCATTGCTAAGCTATGCTTTATCTCATCTCTAGAAACTTACTTATCAAACTAAATAGCACTTGGTCTAACATCTTAGAGCATATATCGGTTTATCATAGAATAATCTTCCACGGCTGAGTTACTCTTAGCTGACATTAACCTGCTCCTAGTTCTTTTGTCTTGGACTGATTTGCCACGTTTATTCAATGCCATCTATTAAGAGTAATTATTCTCATCAGTAAGCTCATTTTCCATTTCACTTTGTCTAATTATATTGCTTTTAGTATTTTTTCTAAGCATTGGTGGGTGTCTATTGTCAAAAGAGGCATCTTAAAAGTCATTATAATCATTAACCATACCAATCAATTTGGTCTTTTATTTGATTAGTGGTGACTGCTAAGCTGTAAAAGGTCTATTAGTCTTTTACCTTTTAAACCTATCATTTTCGTTATCAACCACAATCGAACTATTAGCGGTATTTTTTCCATTTCTGGTGTCAAAACTATCCTTTTATATTGAGTTATTAACTGAATCTCCGCTCTCTCCCTTTTTGCTTTTGCTATCTTTCATTTTAAGTTATATTCTATTCTCAAAGGTGCATTCTTTATTCTTAATACACTGCTTCTATATGAAAATTGGCTTTTTTACAACCACACCATTCGTCTCTGGAGTAATCGAGTATTTTTGAGAAGCTGGCTTTATCTGAGAAAGCTATGGAGTATAATGACCGATTGGAGGACCCTAGGGTGCCAACTTATCGTAATATGAGTTCTTATCTCTTCCTGCACTCCTGAATGCATAACTTCCTGAGTATGTTTATTAAGCGCTACCTGATTTACCACTTTCATTTAGTATATTTCTTTTGCCTTAATTAGAGGTATTGGTGAACTAATTGATGATGTCAATAGACTTTTGAATCTAGTCATTGTTCTTGTCTTGAAACATTTTTTAGTCAAGTGCTTTTTTCTGTTCTAACTCTACAAACAAAATGCGATCAGCTAGCTATTCCACAGATGATTTAGTCGTGCCACGTTCCTATTATGCTATTCTCTGCTATCTTTTTTATACCAGTAAATGCCTCTGGTTTTATATTTCCTCAGGATTTTTAGTGAAGCAAAGATAATGGTTGATAGTTGATTTGCCTCTTCTAGAGTACATTGGTGTACCCTGACCAGACTTAGCTGTGAAACCTGAGTCGATTATCATTTTATGTTTTAATTTTATTTCCTTTTGATATTGTAATTATATTAAAATATCATATAATCTATTGCTATCTCAATATTAATTTTATTTTAGGTGCGGGGTTTTGGGGTTTTGGGGTTTTGGGG